TTTTAAATTTCCCAGCCGGTGTCTGACGTCACCGTCAGCTGCCGGCTGCAGCTGTACATAGACACGGCTAACGAGCCGCACGGGCTCTCCCTCCCACGTGGCATCCTGCTCTCCCGGTAAGTTTTCCTGGCTTCCGCGGGTCCCGGGACAAGGAACTTTTTTTTTTTTAATGAATGACATTCACAGGCCAGAAAGCAATGCTCCTTAATGAAAATCTAATGGAAGATTAGTATAATTGTTGGCTGAAGGGAAGGAGGGTACAACCCTTCACAATAAAGACTTCAGCTACCTCACCTTACAAGTTACCACTGAAAATTATAAGCTTTTTTCAGCTAGGCAGTCTAAAAACCCTTCAGATCAGATCCAACAAAGTGAACAAATATATACATACTTGCAATAGGAATGCAAGTTGGATATTCTAATTTCTCTGGAGGTAGGTAGGCAAATTTTAATACTATATCAGTTCACCTTAGACCAAATCCTGAGCTCTTGTCTACTTAAGTTATGCAGGGCTATTGTGGGGGGGAGAAATCTTACTTTGTTCCCTTATTCAGGTGGCATATTTGCAGTAAAGGTGGTAGGCTTGCAGTAAAGCTACTACACTTCTACACAATTTCTGAGTTCTAGTAGGAGCCACAGTTCCTGTTGTTCATTCTGTCCTACTGGAAGATGATATCTGGTGCATCTTTGTAGTTACAGATCTTTTCAAGTAAGAAACAGAAAGGAACTGACGTACAACCGTGAGACAAGCTACAGGCTTGTGGGGAGTTATACTGTTGCATAAGTCAGTTGGAACCAGTTATGTTGTGTAAAGGATCCTCTCGTACAAAACCAGTTAAGGCTTGAATGCTGAATGAAGCTGACCTCTGTCAGACTTCTTGGCTTTGAGTGATTGCTGAACACCACTGGGGCCACCCATATATCATTAAGTGGAATCCAGCCTTTCCAGCCTTCCAGGTAGCAGAACTGTACCGATTCTTCGTCAGTCAGTGTCCTACGTGGTGAAGTATGCCCCATGTAATGTTTCGATTTAACATATGGAGTTTTGCATGTGCCTTTGTTCTGTCTGCTGTTTGGTTCAAGCTGTCTCTCCCTGTTTTCTCAGAGACCTGAGAAAGGGTACTTCATATCCAACCCAACTATACACTTTGTCCAATGAAAGATAACATCCACAAAAATACTCACCTCTTGCACTTTTTCCTGGACCATCTACAACACCACCCCAAGGCTGTATTTAATTCTTATTCTGGTCTACTCCTTCAGCTCTCGAATTGTTTTTGGCATTTTAAATGCCCTGCCCCCTTGTTTTCAAATGCAATACTTATATAAGTTTTCCTGTAAAAACCTGTTTGCCAGTATAATGTAAGAGGTTTGCCTTTTCAGTGGCTGGCCACTATGTTTAACATGAGCTGTGAGGGGTATTTTGGATATGACCCGAAGGTGTTTGCAGCTGGCAAACATGTAGGAAAGCAGAGTTCAGTTAAGGACAACATTCAGGCATAGAAATACAGTCTCAGGCTATTTGTTTTAACTAGGAATCTGCCTCATTTTCAGTTGTTTGCTTTCATATTTGCTTGTTGGGTCCAGGCAATAGAATCCAGTGTCTTTCATAACTTTCAGTAGGTAGAAAAATCAATATTTAATCACAACATTTTTCAGGAACAATCACAGTTTTTTAGTGAAAAATTGGGAAGATTTGAGATACTAAAAGGAAATGTTCCTGTCTGATTTTTGCTGGTCTCGGGGTATAGGCAAGCATAACAATTGTTTTGAAATCAAAAGAGAGTGATATTAAGCTCTAACAGTGTAGCTTATGTCTTCATAATTTTGTAGCCATACAAGTGTAGCAGAACCATTTCAGCTTTAACCTTATTTCATTCAGGGTCAAAGTTAGGGAAGTTAAACTAATTTGTATCACAATACTAGTATGCAGATATAAGTAGGGACCTACTTAATTTGTGGCTTTGCAGTATTTGTGGAAATTGCAAAATCCGAGATTGTCTGAGAAATTGGAAAAAGCACGCCCCCCCTCCAAAAAAGGTAACAAAAATAAGTCCTTCCTGGGAGTGGGAGGTACTGGCTGGCTGGGTGGCATGAAGGGCAGCAGACAAGATGGCAGCTGCCCCTTGTACCTCCTCCTCCTGCCGGGACCTCTCTGCTAATCAGCACTGGGGGGCAAGGTTGAGAGAAGGGCAGCAAGCAGTCAAGATGGTGGCTGCTTGCTCATTCCCTCCTCCTCCCCACTCAGGGCCTCTCCGCCAATTAACACTGAGGGGTGGGGCTCCCACCAAATGACTGTGGAATTAGAGCTTTAGGCCGCAACCAGCCTGTGAAAATTGGTAACCCCCCCCCCCTTTAGGTAGACCTCTAGATATAAATTACATTGTAATAGCTGATGCACTCTCCCAAGCTGCCACTCCCCCTCCTTTTTAAAGTGGTTAAAAGGTCTGTTTAATTTATGCATGCTGCTTTGTATATTCGGTGTTATAAACCTATTTAAAAATGTGGCCCTGGGAGTCAACTGAGCATTTCTAATCAAACCTGACTCTGGAGTAGATTACATACTCCAATGGGATTACACGCCATTACCAAGTGCCATAATTACTGAGTGGCAGCTAGAACTATTACTGGCTGTTTCCTAATTAATGAAGATTTAAGAATCATCTCTTTAATGAGAACTAGCTCTTTATCCTGGGAAAACAAAATAGTGTATATCAGTCTAAATATGTCAAACAAGAAATTTATTAATTTGAAGCCAGACACAAAATGGCAACAGTGTAGAAAGAACTGTGTCTTATTTCCAGCTCTGCATAGTTTGAATAGATTGTCATTCTCTCTGTCCCTTTGTCTCCACATCTGTTAAATGCATATGATGCTGAACTACTACTCTATTAAACACAGTGATGGGATGTGCTATATAAATGCAAAGCGGGCATTATTTATCATTATTTGAAAAAATTGCTGTCAAACACCAATTGAAAGTGAAGAAATATTAAATAACAGAGTGATTTCATGTATTTATTTATTTTAATGCTTTCTCCAAAGAATGAAAACATTACTGGCATTTGTTTCTTTCATATTCTATGTCCAACAGATCTCAGTCAATTTTATTCTTGTTTAATTTTTAATTCATTCAGATTAAACACTTTTTTTTACCTTAAAGCTGAGGGTAAAATAAATTCTCTGCTATTGTGGACCAGTGAAGCTCCATTGAGTCTAATTGAGCTGCATCCATTTCTTGAAAGAGAGAACCTGTGCCAGGATGTAGGGGTTAGAACAGGTGCAGGCAATTCTTTTGGGCAGAGGGTCGCTCTGAGTTTTGGTGAGCTGTTGAGAGGTGCATGGATAGCCCTGTCCCTTGACAGTTGCCCCACCCCCAGTCACCATATTGGGACCAGAAGTCATGCCCCTGACCTCTCCCTTTGCCCCGGAAGTACTCCTTCTGGGAGGCAGGGTGCTGCAATCTTGAAAACCATAAAAAAAAACAAAACCCCTCGTATACAAAAAAAAAAACAACCCATCTGCTATAACTTATTTTAATTTTATTTAAAAATACTTTGTACTGATTTATGTGTTTAAGAAGTGTATCTAGAGGTGACTACATAATAGCTCAAAATACAGTCCTAATGTATGTTGTATGTGGGCAGTAAGGGCGTGTATGTGGGAGGTGTGGTTGTGGAGTGGTTGTGTGTGGTGGGGTGTGGGTATGGTGAATGGGTTTGGAGGGATGTGGGGTATGTGTTTGGGGTGGGGCTGTGGGAGGGTGTGGGTTTTATGGTGGGTGGGTTGGGAGAGAAAGAGAGAGAGACTGGGCTGGTTTGCCAGCTCTATCACATGTGGCTCTTGCAAACTCCATGTGAGCCTCACGCGATGCTGCCAGGCAGACCCCATGCCCAGGTTCTGCACTGCTGCTGCCCAACCCTGGGTCCCTGCCAGTCCCAGGGCACCTGCATGGGCTCCATGCCCACCTACTACCACCACTACCATGCTATTTCCCTACTTTCCCTTCTGTATGCTTGCCTGCCACTTACCCTGCCACTGCCGCTGCCACTTCTCGCTGGTCCCTGCACCACTCCCTGTGTCACTTCCTGCACTGCTGCCACTTCTCCACGCTGCTGCCACTACTCCCACTGCTGCTGCTGCTTCTCCCACTGCTCCCCCTGGCCTCTGCCACTTCCCATGCCACTGCTGCTTCCTATGCTGTTCGCCCGGCTCACCCCATTCTCATTAAAAAGCTAGGGTCTGTG